TTCCCTAACAGATGACATAAACTTCAGAGCTTTCTTTCCTTCTATGGGATCAGAAGAGGCTTCATCTATCTCAAAAATAGATTGCTACCATAAAATTTCAACAACCACAAAATCAGCTTTAATAGGCACAACAAGAATTATGCTTTCAAAATAATTTGCTGAGTATGATCCAATTGAACAAGGATCAGTAGTAGAAATACTCTTATGAACCGAACAACCGCAGGGGCTTCCAGCAGTGATAGCTGAACTAACTAGATGGGCCACCCTTTTTAATGAATTATTGATTCAGACTGGTTTCAACATCACTGCATATCAATAACTATAACAAGATTTTTGAAATTATTCTCCCAAACACAGTCGATCCAAATACAAATCTATACTGTCAAAATGATGATGATGGGTGAAAGGATAAATTTTTAATTCGTGCTCTTCTTAGGCTTTGAGTTTTTTCTCTAGGATAGTGCTGCTGATATAATTTTGAAAAGGTGAAAGCAATGGGCTACTTCTCAGCCCATCCTGTAAAATATGTAGAAAGCAAATAGAATCATGTCACCTGTTTCTAAATCACAGGGCAGACACCTCTTTGTCACACATTACTTTGTATGGGAATACCCAGAGCAAGAGGATTTGGTAACTTGGATGATTTAGATGATAGCTCCTAATCAATTCACCATCAAAAAAAAAAAAAAAAAAAAAAAGAGGAAAAATATGTAATGATGCAAAATTGGTGAAGAACCAAAATGATTATACGTGCTTTTTATTGTTGAATTTATTTTATGTATATTTATCTATTTATCGGTTTTTTTAGGGGGATGGAGGGGAGTCATTGTAACTAGAAGAAGGTAAGCCGCATATCATAATATCCTGAAAGAATAAAGGCCCACTTGCCCCTTGTAAGATCCTTTATCTCAAGAAGGCCACCATCTGAGACTTCATGAACTTCCCTTATGATGAAAACTCTTTGGATAATATATAAATAATATGAAAATGTAGCACTCTCAAGAGACAGTTACACAGTTTTGAGAAATCTTTGAGGAAGGAGATATCTACCATCGAAGAACCCATGAGAGTATGTCTACCTTTCCAAAGCATGCTTTGAACTTCTCTACAAACATGGATAGCAACTGCTTCAAGATTCCAGAATTGGTTTTGAACAGGTCGAGGTAAGGCGCAATACGCAAGGTGCAGCACGCAAGGTGCAGCTTAGGCGCTGAGGCGAGGGCCTTTTTTCGAGGCACGAGGCGTAGGCTTCATGGGCTTTACCTATTTTTATACTCCAGCTGTTGATTAAGTGGTTTTTATTTCTTTTTTGAACTACAAACTAGAGGCTTAGTTGTTTTGAACTTTACGTGGATGATTATAAAACTTGAGATTTTCTATGGATGTGAATGTGATACTTTATATCTTTTTGTTGGATATTATATTTCTAGTTTTTAGAAGAATGATTGTTATGTTTATCAATTATTTGAAATGTGAAACTTGCTTTATTATTTTTGGAATTTTACATATATTTTTTATGTTGAAAAGTTTGTCTATTTTATAATTTTGGTTTTCTCCTGCTACTTGCGCCTCACTTTGGTAAGGCACAGGCCTCGCCGCGCATCTCGCGCTCAGGCTATAGGAGACCTTATCGCCTCAGTGCGCCTAGCGCTTTGTAAAACACTGGGTTAACTTGAGTCTCCATCCAAAAATGAAGCGCCCAACTTTAAGATATTGAGGGGTTGTTTGGGATGTCCTAAATAAGTGCATTTTTTTGTCTTTTTGGACTAAAAAATTGAGGTTGAAAATATGGATGTTTGGGTTAACTTTTTGACTTTTTATGAAAAAATGTGTAATAAAAAATTGTAAAAATTGATTTGTAAGGAAAAATTCGAATTAGGAGTTGTGCAGCCGTAATTGTTGACTTTTGGTGAATAGTGTTAACTTTTTAACTTACTTTTTAAGTAACTTTTTGACTTTTGACTTTTTTACAAGTTCAAACTTGGCCTGATTATTGATTGAAATTTGAAGAGCACATTTAATATCAGTTCCTTTTTTAAAATGTATGTAAATAAATAAAAATTGCGATTGTACCATCTGGCATTCTCTGCACTCCTCATGAATTCCTGGATCAGCTAATCCAAAAACCTATTTTCCATCTAGTCCCAAAGAAAAGAAAGCTAAAACCAAAAGAAGAAAGGAAACAAACTACCCGACTGTGAAATGATTCAATCATATGCTCTGTTCCTTGCAATCACATTATTAGATTAGTCTGGTGTATTAAATCAGGTAAAAGCATGTCCTCTACTTCTGGCCTACAATCACAAATAGAAGAAGACAAACCTTTGCCTCCACTTGTAGCTACGATAACAGTAAAAAATTATTCCATTTATATTTATATTCATATTCAAGGTAACCTTAACCATAAAAAATAACAAAAATAGATCAAACAAGTGAATCTAAACCTCATCACATTAGTACCAGAGTACCTAACCACCAGCCAATATAGGTCAAAAGAGAAACATTTTAGTTTTCAAAATGGTTCCGACCAGTAATGTTAAGAGTTAGTGCTTTATCATTTTCAAAGGCAAGTAATAGAACAAACCTTTCTGCAAGCATTGCAGAACCTCCTCGAACAATTCCTCCACAACCTACACAGCAGAAAGCTTATTTGTTGCTTTGTCCCCAAAATTTGGAGATTTCTTTCCAAAGATAAGTGAACTAAGCAAATTTGGTTTCTTTCATTGGGGTCGGAGGCAAGACTGGTTGGTCAAAGGGAATAATATCAACAAGAGGCAAGTTGTATCATCCTTCAGGCTCTTGATCTGAGAGCCTCCTAAACAATGGAATATACAAGATAGTAAACAAAAAAATAGCATAAGTAAAAGCATAAAGGTGGTTAATGAAAAAATAAATATGGAGAGAATAATTGACAGAGCAAACAGGCTCTTTGTTTCAATTTTATTAATCCTTACGGGGAGACTCCATTTTATAGGAGTGATTATACAACATTTGCAGACAAATATAATAAAAGGCTACTAGACAACATAATGAAAGGCAACAATCATAATTAAAGGCACAACATATAAAACTAAAAGTAGCCGAAAGGAAATGGCACTAACTAAAAGCAAATTGCACTATCTAAGGCATCTGATGACTACTAATGACACACAATATAATATATACATTATATATATTATATATTAATTAATAATGAAAAGAAGCTTGATTTCAAACACTCCCCTCAAGCGACGTTGTAGATGTTAATCATTCCCAATTTGTCCGTCAGATCTTCAAGCTAACTCGAGCAAGAGCTTTTGTGAGAATGTCAGCCTTTTGGCTCTTTGTTGGAGTGTAGCTGACTTGAAAAACTCCTTCTTCAATCTTTTCCTTGATAAAGTGTCGATCTATTCTCACGTGTTTAGTTCGATCATGATGAACCGGATTCTTTAGCGATACTGATGGCGGCTTGGTTGTCGCGAGTATAAAACCATGGGATGCTCAGATGGAACCCGTAATTCTTCTAACAGTCTGTTCAAGCCAGATTCCCTCACAGATACCTAGGGCCATAGCACGAAATTCTACCTCAGCACTACTACGGGCTACCACTGGACTGTTTCTTCTTGCTTCGCCATGTAACCGCGTTCCCACCAAACAAATGAACAATAGCCAGAGGTTGAATCTTCGATCAGTCACTGAACCTGCCCAATCTGCATCTGAAAAAATCTCAATTTTTCTATTTGTTGTTCTTTGGAAGAAGAGACCCTTTCCTGGTGTCATTTTTAGGTACCTCAATATTCTGGTCACAGCAGTCATGTGTTTTTCGGTTGGATTATTCATGAATTGACTGACCACACTAACAGAGAAGCCGATGTCTGGCCTTGTATGAGAAAGATAAATGAGTTTTCCCAACAAGACGTTGATATCTCCCTTTATCACTTGGTGCACGCTACCTTAAAACCCACAATTGGACCCAAAAGTGACTTCAAATGCATGCAAAAAAAAAGCCCTTTGGGAAGCCAAAACACAACTCCATCAACAACACACAAACTATCCGTATCCGTGCTTCCTAGGCTATCATTGATACTTAAAAGTATATTGCTGCAATTTTTTTTTAAGAATGGTTTTTGGCTTTAGCTAAGGTCTAGTGCATATCACTGATGAGGGGAACAAGTTGAAGTTTCAAGCCTTGTGGAAACAGACTTTCTTTTGGAACAGTAATTTTTATAATTTTTTTATTTGCTAAATATAAGTAAAAAAATATATGTTTGGGATGACTTTTTTAGCTTTTACGAAAAATGTGCAAAAAGTAGAGAAGAAAAGAAATTTTGACTTTTTGTATGATGTTGGCTTTTTGCATTTTACTTTTTAAAATTCTTTTGACTAAAAATGACCTGTTCCCAAACGAGGCTTGAGTTTAAGGTTTACACTTTTTCTTCTTTATCAAGTTATCTTTTTTGCTTTAGGGTTTTATTTTTATGCATACTGCATTCTAAAAATTGTTAAAAATAAATATTTTTTTATGAACGTATCCCCGTGTAAACCGTATCCTAGTTTTTTCAAAATTTTGTCCGTATCGCCGTTCCCTATCGTATGCGTATCCGTATCCCGTATCCGTGCTTCCTAGGTCAAATGAGAGTATTATGGCAAACCTTAGATGGGTCAATGGAATTTAGCCATAAAAAATTCCTTTTACCTTCTCTTTTTAGTGAAAGACAATGGTCAAATTGTTACCCATCTTTAACCCAAACTACCTCAAATTTAATAGAGAGCATGAGAAGACAAAAAGAAGGTTTAGAAAGAAAAAAAAATGCTGGAGTCCCCAATCCAATAATGAACTTAGTCATGTTATGCAAATATTAAATTCAAGAGAATATTGCATGATATTCGATCAAATGCTAATATCAAAAAGACACCTAACC